TCCATCAGGCGATCAGGGCTCTCTTCAAATGTGGGGGGTTTTCTTCAATTTGACCCGCCCCCCCCCCCAGCAGGGAAAGAAGTGGCTGGGGGGTGGTCAGCCCTGCTTTTCCTTCTGCAGCCTTCCTACCCCCACCCCCATGATCTCTGCTTCTCACCGCCCTACTCCCCACAGTCTTTGCCTCTTCCACCCCTCTCTAGTCTCTGTCTCTTCCCCCCGTTTGCTGACAAACTGCTCAGACTTCCCTCCCTGGAGCACAGCTCAGGGAAGCTCAGCCCTTGCTGGGCCATGCAGCAATGGTGTTGCTGATTGGGCCGGCAGGGGACAGCGTTTCATGTGCTCTGTGCCCAGGAGAGACTCCAACCTGAGCCAGAGCCCAGCTGTGCCTGACATTAAGGGGGAGGGGGAAAGGGGGAGGCAGGGGCCAAAGCTGCAGAGAGCAAGGGGTAGGAGACTGCTGTGGGTTGGAGTCTGCCCCCCCACTTTGGACACAAATCTAAGGCGAGGGGTTTCTCCTCCATGCTGACTGGAGGACAGATGGTTTGAGTAAATACAATATTGTATACTCTGCCACAGGACAGGGCATATCACAACTATATGGTGTCGTATATGGTGTGCAGAATAGTGTTACTGCATGGCAATGGCATCCAAGACAGTAATAGTCCCATTGCACAATGCCCTACAGTGTGTGCTATAGCATATCCCTCTAGCATCTGACTTATAAATACATTGGTGATTTTCAGACTTCCTAAGGTAGTATAACTGCTGCTGCTCCCAAACCCATCCCCTCATCCTAAAAACTGAAACCTAAGTGTGCTGCCATTGTGAGGCCAGGTCGCCTGCCTTCCAGCCAGCCCCACGGTTACCCAGTCTCTTTGCAGAAACCTCAGCTAGTACTGCACAAATGTAATTGTTCTGTTGAATCTGGTGGAGTTATGCTGAGCTTCCAGCTAACTTTTGTTTTTGGGGTCAGGTTAATAAACTAGTACTGCATGGCACAGAGCCATAATACCTTTCTGATTGCTGTAAGCCCCACCATTTTTGCATAATCTGTTTGATTTACTTATTCTTTTATAGTTAAGAAAAACCTTTCAAATTTGAACCTAACATAAATGAAGGTCCCTTCCTTTTTTTAAAAAAAGATAAATAGGTGGCCCATGTTAAGGGGAAAACAAAATGGGAAATGATCTGAGGGTACAAAGCACATGCTGCTGTTTGAAGTAGAGCAAAAGAATTGTAATCAGCATGAATGGGGAAGAAAGAAGCCAGCCACCAATGACAATTAAGAAGGATGTGGGAACAAGGAATTGGAGGATCCAGATAAAAAGATGAGAACCTTTACACTGGAGCGGGGAGGCAAGGGAAAGGAGACCAATATAATGTTGTTTGTGAGTCTGTAGAGGAATTCAAATAATTATATAGAAAAATGACAGCCTCTCATGGTATATTATTAAAGTTGCAAGCATCTACTATGAGAAAACTTATTTTAGCCATTCTATAATATTGGTTTAAGATAATGTGTAACATCTGAAAATTGCCATGTTTGCTTGTGAAGAAAATTATTTCTTCACTGTATGAAGAAAATGTATGACTTAGGTTTTAAAAATTACCCTGATTTGAATATTTTAACTTCTATCTAATGTTTGTGTGTTTATTTCTCTCTAGCTCAAAAATAGCTTACTATTCAAATAAGTAAGTAAATATCTTATTTACTACCCATTCAAACTTCTACATTTCAGACTAAAGGCAGGCAAGCTTTATATTTGTACCTAGCTATTTCTGGCCACTATCCTGCCAAAACTAGGGTTAAATGGAAGTATTTGCATGTATAGCATTAAATATCTGAATTCATCTTTATAGACGGCCTTAGTGAATCAGTGCATTACATGAACTATGCGTCTTGAACATTATTATGATGATAGTCACTGTGTTAATTGAATAATCAGTTGACCTTCAGTTTTTTTGTAATCACATTATATATACATGATGCTTTTTTATGTGCTTTACTGTAGCAGCTTTTTTGATACAAGAGAAATAAATAAATTTAAAAAATTTAAAGAAAAAACCACATGGGAAAATTTTCAAATCCCAAAGCACTGTTTCAGAAGTCAGCTATTATTGCTAATTGTTGTTCCAAGTTAAACATTTTCAAAATTTATGCGCTTAAAAAATCAAGGAATGAATAACTAAGAATATCATAAATTTTGTGCTATTAACATAAACAAAGCATTATTTTTATCGAGTATAAAGAAACCTGTATCTCATTACAACCTCACAAACAATGCTAATTCAAAATAAGTATTGTTCACTTATCAGTAATCTCAATACAGAAACACAGCTCAATATTCTTTTGAAACATATCACTAAAGTTACTCATAAATTATTAGTTTCGTCATACAATGATAGCTTTTCATCTTTCTGATTAAGCTACATGTACAGTGTATGTTAAGATCAGAAGCCTGAGCTTGATGTGCAAGGCACAAATAAGCCAAGGGAGTAATTCCAAAGTAAAAGCATGAGAACGGCAGGAAATGAGGGTGATTGAAGCAAAAACATTTAAAATAAAGGAAGGCCAGAAAGAAAGAATTTGGAGCAGTTGAGATGAAACAGTGGACATGGGTTTTTTTTTATTTTCATTTTTTTTAAATATGTACCAAATTGTAGCTGATGGGACATATTGCTCCTGTGTGCTGTATGTAGATGACACACAGGAGTACCTCTTAAGATAGACATTTCAAATCTCCCCTTAATGCTGTTCTCTTTGAAATGCACAGCAAAAGCCTCCAAAAAGAAAAAGTAAGACTTCAAAACCACTGAGGGACCCTTCTTCCTCTAGCTTAATGCTATTTGGCAGAACTAGAGGCAGGAGAGGGTCATGTGTAGTTTGGCACAAAGTGTCTCACAGGAAAGGAATTAAATTTACTCAAGATAATTAGAACAGTTAAATTTTTTTAGAATTATTTCAAAAGAGCACCAGTGATTTTATTAAATGCTGCATCGAGTATGAGAATCATATGCCATATGCAAACTCTAAGGTTACATGCATCCAAGAGTTTCCATTTCCAGCTACATTTTCTTGGTAGGAATAGAGTGTGGTTTTTAAATAGCCATATGACATTGAAAACGGAGAACATATTCCAAGAAAGTCAAAATTAAAGAACTAGTACAGTAACAAAGACTCTGTGCTCTTATGCTTTCTGTGCATAGGTGAACTCCTGTGCTAGGAACTGGTGGTAACTACATGTGGAACTTTTTGTTTATACTGAGACAACTGAAAAATGTCATCTGATAAAGGGGATGCTTACTGAAAGGATTATAAGAAGAGATGGTACATTTTCCTTTGAGTATATCTCCTATGATGCAGTAAGGTCATAGGTCCTATAATGAGCTCCCATTCATCATTATGACAGGGAAAGTGATGCATCATAGCAGAGATAATCCAAACACAGAGACCAGAATATGAAGGAGTATGAAAGCATAAGACACCAAATCCAAATTCCAAGAGGTGTGGTAGCATCTTTTTAAATCCATATATTTCTGTTTGCAACTGAACTTGTTTTTGTTTGTTTTATACATTTTACTGTAAGAGATCAAGAATAGAACAGCTGCTTTGGGCAGACCTATGTCAGGAAGGGTAAGTAGGGATCCAGATGCCAGTCATTGGCCAGGGGGTGCAGAGCAGGCAGTTATAGTTGCATCAGACTGGGGTCTGGGAAACCAGCAAACTGAAGTCATGAGTCAGGATCCAACTGTCAGAAGTCTGGACTGGAGCTGACAAGTCTGGAAGAATGATGTCTGGTGTGGAATCTGGAACAAGGAGTCAGAAGCCTAGAATTTTTCAGAAGGAGTAAACACCTATCCTGTTGAATAGCCTGCTGGCCACTGAAAGACTGCTCCTTATAAGTAGGCAGCATGACAGTGCAGGCAACTGGGGACAGCTGGAAGTAGATCACGGGCAGCCAGGTCCACTTAGGTAACCAGGGCCAGAACCAGCTCGGGGCAATTTGGCTTGCCTGCTACCATGACTCCTGACAATGGAGCAATAAACTGACTTTTCTGCTAGCAAATCTCAAATCTCCAGTTAGTTTAAGAGCAGTAAGCCCAAGAGAGGGAATTCATTCAGGTCTAGCCTGTACCCTCACTGATATACCAGTCTTCAATTTATCCTTTCTTCCACATGTGTACTATCAAAACTGGCTAACTCTTACTGATTATTCTGTCTGGGTATCAGGATTTTTTTAACAACCATGGCACGGTTTCATTCTTCCTGCTTACAAAGCTGGGACTGTTAGGGTTTTATCCTTTACACTCTCAAGCTCTCAGCAACTTGTTTTCCTGTCACATTTTTCTAGTAGTTGTGGGACAGAACCCATTTGTATGCCTACTTTAGCCAGAAGCCTTTCTGTCCCACAAGCTACTTTTTCATCTCAGCAGAAACAGTCTTTCAACTGCTTTCATCTTTCTCATCTCCCTAGACCAGTGGTTCCCAACCTTTTTTTTCCGTGCCCCACTGCTGGGAGTGGAGTGCAGTGGGGGCAGAGGAGCTCCTAGCATGCAGTGTGGCTTATCTTTTCTGTGTGGCGCTGCCCCCACAACCCTCATTTGGGTCGTGACCCAGGATTGTGAACCGCTGCCTTAGACAGAGTCAGCTAGTTTTTGTCTTTA